AGCAGGGAATTCTGGATGTGTTCTTCAGAAGCTGGAATAGACAAAAATAGTATGTGCAGAAATGGCTGTTGGTTGCTTGGAATGCTATCGTTTTAGGCCTTACGGGTGTTCAAGGACTGGCAAAAAATGTTTAGTTCTTTACCATAGAGCAGGCAGGAATTTCTAGCGGTCAGACGGGTCTTGGGGGCAACTGGAAGTCAAATAGGGCAAAGTCAAATAGAATATATTACTATAATTGTAATTTATTTATATAGAGTTAATTTTGTATATTGCTATAGTTAAGTTGGTATAACCATGAACCCACAAGAAAATAACATCTCCTACTTCATCTATTTATATATTCTATTTGACTTTTTATGAGCTTACTTGACGACTCAACACTAAGGAATCCCAAAACAAAAAACTCGAGTTGTTTTTCACATTTTCTCGGTCAATGCCAAAATGGTCATCTTGCAAGAGTTGCTCCGGGACGGAAGATTTGGTGCAAACATGTGCAAACATCCAAGAATTTTCCTCCGGAGGGTTCTGAGCCATGTTTGAGATATACCAGTAAATCTAGCTTCCAAACTCTCTCAAGAGGCTTTGACCAAGAAAAGCCAAATTGGGTCTCAGTAGCTACCTCTCCGGCAGTGATTATCTTCTATTGGAAATGCTCTCCGGGAAACCCCAAAAGTGCATCTTCTATTTGTGGTAAAGAGTATATTGGAAATAGGTTGAAATGTACACACATGGGTCGTTTCTGTCATCAGTTTCACTTGTTGGATTGAGGTGACCATATGCTAGGTTTTTATCTTGCGGTCGTGAGCAGAACAGAATTTGAGAGCAAGGTCCCTTGTCTACACTTGAAATTGAAGATGACAATCTCCCAGACGTGTTGCACAATGCTGCGCGCAGACCATTTGCTTGTGAAACCCCTTGTCCACACGCTCACTCTTGGCGCAGCTGGTCCCCATCTACTATATAAAGGAATGATCAGCGCAAAATCAAGGTTATGATTTGGACTTGCTGGATACTCAGTACAGGACTGGATGCACAATTGCTAGCACTTGTTCTGAGGCCAACCGGCCCAACTTGACTGCTGCATGAGCAATGCTGAGCCAAGAAGCCACCTTGACAGTGCGTGTATAGGTGCGTCTGTCAAGTGGCTGCATAGCGTAATTCAAACTAGATGACGAGTGGCCCGAGAGCATTTTTCATCACGTGGGAAGTCAGAGTGTGAGTTATCTGTTAAGTGTGCAGTGTGAAGTGTTCAAGTGTAGTGTGAGGGTCTCTGTGTGTGTATCTATGTCCGTGTGTATATGAGTCTGTCTATGTGTGTGTTCGAGTAAGTTGAGGCAGCGCGTGGGTGTCTGTGTGTGATGCGGCCTCCCAAACCCCCCACCGGCGGCCAAGCGGTGACAGCCCAGCTCATCATCATGAGCATTTGAGCTGCTGGTAAGGGGAGAAGCAGCGTGCACGCCTCCAGGAAAGCTCACTG